TGCTGGAGAAACAAATCAATCTTATTTCCTTACTTCTCTGATATTTGGGAAACTTGAAAAAAGGACCGCATCTCCTAAGCAAGGGTGCAATTAATACACTATAGCTTTTAGATTAAAAAATGATACAATCCTTATTTAACCACCCAATTGTAAAATTTAATTAAGTAAATTTACTAACTTAATAGTAAATAGTTTAATTAAGTGACTTAATTAAATTTTCTTCAGACTTTCCACTGTGCTTTGACCCTATGCATTAAAGAAAATAATTTACTGAATTAAAAAAAAATTTCAATAACCCTATTTGGAATTCATTTTGGCACATTGTTGTAAATATGCTTCATGGCTCCTGCATAGCCACCCAGATAGATTCTAAACTGCATTTTACAATAACTGCTCACAGCTGTAAGCCTGCCTGGGCTGGTGACAAACTGGCTCTTTTAACATTGATTTTAGATGTCAGTGTGGCATAATAAAAACTGTAACACCAGGTACCCTGCCAATCACAGCTGGAAAAGCCAAACACCATCCCCTCATGAATGGTACTTCACAGCCCTTGCTGATGGGGCTGCAATAAATATTTGGAAATTTGCCTGAGGTTTTAACTACGCACGGCCTGTTGATTTTAATGACAGTCAAGGAAGTCAGTCGCGTTCCATGCTTTGAAAATTCTCCACTGTGTTTTTAATCATAATCCTCCTTTTCATCAATAACCCATTCATTACATAATCACTCAGCACTCATTTTACAAATGGCAGACTCTGTAGCCACTTCCAACTTCCATTCCCTGAGTAAAGGCACACTTCTGTGCATTTGCATCGGAGAAAAGTCTTTCAAATATTAGAAGTAGCTGTACCACCTACTCTCCAACACCAAACTGTTTCCTCTCCACGTTAAACACTGCTATTCCCTTAACTGTTTATCACGTGAAATGATTTCACAGTTCTCTATCTTGGTTGAAACCCTACGTGTGTGCTGTAACATTCTAAATGTGACTTCAGAGAAAGAGAGAAAGTGTAGGCTTTTCCCATATCATAGGTAAAACCATGATACGTGTTTCATTTACCTTCAGGGCACCCAGCTAGACAATATGACTCCAAATTTCTAGTGTAAAGATGATTCAGTAACTGGAGGACCATCTTTACGCACGACCTCAATCATGGACCTCAGGAAAGGTTCTACTGACGTCTTCAACAGACTG